TTTTCTGCTGCTGAAATCCAGTAATCCTTCTCTTAATTAGAGATTAAAAAATAAAAATAAATAAATCTATGTTCCAAAACAAAATTGAAACAATTTTAAAAAATTAAAATTATATAATTTACATGATTGTTTAAGTTGGAAAACCAATGTATATTTTTTCAAAACTTATGATATCTCATTTATATTTGCTATATTTTTTATTTTGATTTCCTCTCTTCCAATCACATCCTTGTATAAAAAATTAAAATTAATTATTTTTTAAATAGAACCAAATCGTTCAAAAACAAAGTTTAAAAACCAAATTTTAAAAAATTACACAATAATAAAAACACAACAAAAATCCACGCATTTTAGAGTATAGTATAATAATAATAATTCTATTAATCGACATCATTTAGTTCCCTAGGCAATCTATAGCATCTCAAGTCTCAACTGTGTGGGCGCCCCACTACCCTCTCGTTTATGATTTGATCAGTGGACTCTAAGCAAAGGTGTAGGGAGGGAGAATCAGTTGAGATATGCCTAAATCTGGTATAGGCAGTGCTTGGACCGTGATCAAAGAAGAGTTCGTAACATTTGAAGTTCATTCACAACAAGTTGACAACGTATTCACCAACGCATTTGAAATAGAAAATATTTGTGCTTCAAAATTCCAGATGTAATAGTTCAAACCTAAGCTTTGATTGATTTGTAATTTTGATGCTAGTTTGAGATGTTTTAAGGTTTATATTTATCTTGCCTTAGTGGTTATTAAATGTGTTAATGGTGGAGATTTGGCGTGTTAAGGCTTGATGTTCGGTAAGTGCAGAAATTTTGTGCAGCATTATCCTTAATCTCTTGAAGAAGAAACATTTTCTTCCCTGTCTTGAAAACTTTCGACCACTTCCCTGTTCTTTTTCTTTTTTATCATTTTTCTGCAATTTTGTTTCCTTATGTCAACCAGGTATGCATCCCACAGGCCTGGCTTTCAAGGCCCAGGCACCCGGCAAGACCTTGTTTAGATTTTTTGTGCCTTTTCCCTTTCCTATGGAGCTCTTGCATTATTTAATTACAACTCCCTTTTATACAGCCGGGGGGACAATGCCATTACTTCTGATGTGATTGAGTTTTGAAGGGAAATATCACGATTATTTCCCAATTCCTTATTCTGTCGTGCATAAGATTTGTTATGGGGTTACTGTTAGTTTTCAACTTCAGTGGCTCTCATTTGGGAAAGCATAACTTCAGTGGGAAATATCAACTTCAGTGGCTCTCATTTGGGAAAGCGACTTTATTAAGAAAGATCTTATGAGAGCCATTACTAATTTTAAGATATATTGTGCCCCTCAAAAGGTTGTATTAGCATTTAAAAGTAGGAAATGTAAGGCTTATACTGCTATAATTGAGTCGGTTTTTATCATAGCTCATGATTTTGAGTTGCAAACCTCAAGTTCTAAAAGGACGAGAAACTCTAGGACTGAGGCTATTTTAAAGCCTTTTTTTTTTATGCAATCCTCGTCCAAATCTAGATAATCTTCAGCTGCTTTTTCTTCTGGAAGAAAAGGAAGAAAAACGAAGTTCATTGCATACAAATCTATTGCTTCTTCATTTAGGTTGTTATCCTCTACCTCGAAGTACAAGTAACAAAACTCCTGTTATCTTGAAAGTTCAAATAACTTCTCTATTAGCTAAAGTTCATTCCATCTCAAAACTTATTATTTTAGAGTTTTCTTCTAATTCTGTTAAAAGTTCTCATTCCAAATCTTCTTGTCATATGCCTGAAAATGTTCATGTTAGTAAAGCTTCTTCTGGCAATTCTAGCCCTCCAACATTTTAGGATTCTTTACCATTAAAAACTCTAATCAATATGGACATGGTAAGTGTTTATATACATCTTCTCTCTTAATGAATGTTATTTTAATTTTATTAACACTCTATTGTAATGTTTTGTAAGAGTAAACCTTGTTATGCAATCCTTTTCAAAATTAATTAGTTCTCTAAATCTAGATCTCCAGGATAATAATCAAGCATCTTCTTTGTAGAAGTTTACGCCTCTAGAGTTGGTTAAGCATCTTCATCTGCCTATTATTGAAATCATCAAGATTCATCTATTTTGTCTTAGTGATGCACTATTTGCTTCCCAATGTGCTCCTAATGTTAAGAAAATAAACCAGACTTTTTCTACACTTATTTCATCCACAGATGTTGCTCATTCCACTACCAAGAAGCAACTTGAGGCTAATGTTGCAAGTTTGGAATTTGAATTAAAAAAAAAGGGATTACATGTTCTTATAGACTTTGACAACCCTATAAATATTAGAAAGGAAGTCCTATCTTATATCAACCATCCTATTGCTAAATATTTATCATCAAAGAAACTTTTCTAATAATTATAAATATTTTTTCTCTAAAATATCTTAATCGTTTATTTCAAGAAATATTCAAGAAGATCTAAATGATTTGAATTTAAATTTAGTAGTTACAGATGAAATGAATTCTTTAAACAAAAATAAAACTTGAAAAGTAGGTTGACTTGCCAAGAAAAAAAAAAGAAAAAGAAAATATGGTGTAAATAGATATTTATGATTAAAAGCAAAGTTGATGGAAACATAGAAAGATACAAGGCAAGGCTTATGGAAAAAGGTTTTACACAAATATATTGCACTGACTATCAGGATTCATGTGCTCATATAGTCAAAATAAACTTAGTTCATGTGGTATTATCTTTAATATTAAATTTTATTGTGCTTCACATCAATTTGGACATTAAAAATACATTTTTAATTAGAGACTTGGAAGATGAAGTATGAGCATACAACTTGAGTTTGAAGAGATAATTAACAAACATAAAGCCTTCAGACTAAACAAGTCTTCATATGGCCTTGAACAATCTCTAAGAGCATCGTTTGAATGTTTTGGAAAGACTGTAAGACGTTATGGTTAATTCTAAAGTCAAGCAAATCATACTATTTTTATGCACTCACATGGCACAGAACACTTTGATGTCATTAATAAAATCTCAAGTTACTTGGAAGGAATTCTTGGAAGAGGTCTGTTGTTTAAGAAACATGAACATCCACATATTGAAGTCTACACCGATGTGGATTAGGTTGGAGATCAACTTCTAGTTATTGTACCTCCATTAAAGGGAATTTGGTTACTTAACGAAGAAAAAAACAAAGTGTTGTGGTAATAAGCAGTACATAAGGGAGCATGGCATGGATACCGGTGAAAGCGGTGCTTTCTCGCGTAGCTGTAACATGCAAGACTCGCTTCAATCTGTCTCAGGCACTACTTCTAGAAGTGCAAGCATGTATTTTTCTCACTTTTGAAGCCTCAATGATGAGTGAAATTGTACTCTCAGATGTCAAGTAATCCAAAATATGACCTGGTACGAGTCTTGAAACATGAGATTTTCTACAGGCAACAATGTATGCAATGAATTCAAACAGATTTCCTTTGCTTTCTTCGTAGGCCATGCATCCATATATCTTCATCAATCACAGATTCACATGCTCGAGATACATGCTTTTCGGTAATTTGAACAAGAGCGTCTATCGTATTCTGAATCAATAAATTCTGACTTTAAGCCGTCGTGTTGTTTTCTTGCTAAGCCTCTCCATATTTGTACTCCACCATCTTGCAAAGAGAACTCAAGCTTAGGATTTTCAGCATCTAAAAAAGTGCAAGTATAATGAAGCAGCCAAGTGGGTATTTAAGCTATTCGCCTCTTCCTTCTTGAAAATGCATGTAGGAGCTAGCCATAGAGAGAGAGAGAGAGGGAAGGCTACCTAGCAAGCTTTCACATACAAAGCTTGGAAAGAACACACATAATACTTTAAAGACAGGGAGAGTGAGTTAGAGGTGAAGCAACGAGAACTCTTTAAATCTTCATCAACAAACAAACAAATAAACAAGCATACTCAAGAAAGCAAGAGTGTGAGCGTCAAAGGTAGATGAAAAGGCAGGAGAGAGAGAGAGAGAGAGAGAGGCATGCATGCTGCTAGGCCAAGAAGAAAACAGGAAAATAAAAATAATTAACTATATCTTATATTTATAAAAAAAAAGATAATAAATTGCGTGGCACTGAAAGGAAAGGAGAGGAAGGATAGACATTTGAGTTCTGATTCGAGCAAACTGTACTTTTAAAAAGTTTAATTTTTTATTAAAAATAAATTATTATTCTTTTGTTTTGAATAGTTTTGATATGATAATTTTTAAAATAATTTTTTAAAAATAAAAAAAATTATTTTAATACATTTTAACATAAAAAACACTTTAAACACAAATACAAACAACTAAAAACACAAACACACCCCCGAAATCACCCTATATATTGGAAAATGACACTAGAGAGATGAACAGGGGAAATTGTTTTGACCACCTTCAACAGCACTGATGACTCGCAAGCACACGAATGGAGACGTAGTATTTCAAAGATGCCATCAATAATCACCTCGCTAAGGCTCATAAGGCACGATAGGCTTCTCGATAACAGAAGTTTTTACCTCGCAATGAGTACATGATCTAACAGCGAAGGGTTAAAACAACGGCGTACAAATATTATATGACAGCTTAACTAGCTAATAAAAGACAGAAGACGAAGCATTTAAATCCTCCGCTAGAAAAAAATGAAATATAAAACAAGCAGTACAGTCAAACTACACACCCACAAAGGAGCATCAACAATGGCTACCAGACTTGCACAGGTGAGAGAATGGCAGAAGACTTGGGCATCCAAATCTTGGATAACAAAATATTTAAAATCCATGTCATGAGGAACTCCACAACGGTAAGTAGCTGATGCTTAATATGCAACGATAACAGGTAATGTACAGGCAAGCACTCGAGTCCTTCTTTTGTAAATGTACCAAGAAAAGAAAATATTGGAAACCAAGTTACAAAACCATTGTCTAAGATAATGTAAGATGCCAATCCGAAGAAATTCTTAAAACAAAAGGCCATTTTGAAAGCAATTCCAAGCAACAATTCTATAATGGCTGGAACAAACAAGGCAAAAATATTTAAGATCATACTTCATATTTAAACACGCACCAACATACTAAATAAAACTACTGTCAACAGTGAAGCATCAGATCAGAATCCAGCAAAAATAATAAAAAACAAAACTCAACTGAAATACTTCTATTATATCTAGAAGCCCCTAGTCATGAAGATAAATATCCAGGATTCTCAAGAAGTCTTGCATTCTCGAATAAAAGTATTTTTAATGACAACTGCCAATCAATCCAAAAAGGTATTCAACTACTAAAAGCACCAGAGGACTTGGGCATTCTGCAAGGAGCTTCTAATCAAACAAGCTGAATCCCATGTCTTCATCCTCACTTTCCTCCTTAACCTCTTCCTGCAAAATACAACCAACAAATCACACCAGAGTCAGAGAGCTCAAGAGCTGAAAACAACCACCACCCAATTCAACAACAAATAAGACGCGTTCCTTTCTTCTTACCTTCTTCTCCTCAACAACAGGAGCAGCATCAGCAGAAGCACCACCAGCTGGGGCAGCAACAGCAACAGCAGCACCACCACCAGAGCCAACATTCAAGATGAGATCCTCAATGTTGCGCTTCTCAAGAAGCTTAGCAAACAAGCTTGGCCAGAAAGATTCAATTTGCACATTGGCTGCTTTAACCAATTCTGCTATCTTCTCTGCCTAAAAGCATTAGTTAAAGAATCCGAGAAAATACACAGATCCGCTTGAAATCCTAAAAATAACTTTAATATGTTACAACAACGGAATAAAAACTATAAAAAGAAATCTCAAATCCTATAAAACATATGAACGAAAGAACTGAGAAACAGAGCAACGATAATACAGTTTATCTAGGGTTCCAAGGATACAGTGATGGCGATGTTATCATCGTAGAGAATAGCAGCAGCGTACGTGCAAGCAAGCTCGCTAACAGACATCTTTCTTTAACCACTAAAAAGCATCAAAGAAAAAATAAGAAATGCAGACAAAGTTTCAGCAATCAACGATTTAAACGCACAAATAAAATAAAAAACAGAACGATTGCATCCAGTTATCTATAAATAAACAGTGTTCCGGAAGAATAGTGTGTTTACCTTGTGGAAATAAGGTCTGAGGTTGGTTGCTTCTAATCTCTGGCTGCGCTGCTGCAACACAAAATAATCTCTAGGGTTTGGAAACGTTAGGGAGAATGGGGGTTTTAAAGGCAGTGAGAATTGGGCTCGAGTGGTTTACGGGGTTCAGCGTTATAGAGCCCACCTTACGAAGGCTAGGCCCATTATGTGATTCTTATAATGGTAAGCTAAATTTCCACCTCATATATTTAGACATGTTACCTTTTGACCTCTGTAGTTTAGACTTGTTCAGAACCAACCCTCATCATGTTTCCTAGAAGCGCCACGTTGCTGTTGGCAAGCGAATTAATTTTTAAAATCCTAATACTTTTTTGTTGAATATTATCATTTATGAGAAAAGGATAACAATTAACATATAAAAAACATGCAGCATGGATTTTTTTTATATTTTAAAAATAAATTTTTTATATTTGTTTCTTTGCTTCAAGTTATTATTTTTTTGTGTGTTTAGATCATTTTAATATGTAGATATTAAAAATAATTTTTTAAAAATAAAAAATATTATTTAGATATATTTTTAAGTGAAAAACACTTTAAAAAATAACCACAATTATATTTCTATATAACCAAATAAAAATTAACTAGTATAGAATAAGAAATAACGAGAATAGAGGGGGGATTTTCAGTAATTAAAAATGGCTACATTAATAGAAATTATTTTAAATTTTAAGTGAAATTAAAATTTGTTTTTTAACTTTAATTTCTTGATTTAAGTATAATGAAACTTTTTTTTAATAAATACTTCATGATACTCAAATAAAAAAAATCAAAGGTTAAGTTCAATTTGATATAAAGTCTAAAATAAATTGAGATAATTTAAATTTTAAAAAATAGATAAAATAATTAAAATAACAAAGATTTTTTCATAAAAGATAATTTTAGATCTCAAGATTAATTAATAATTTACCGTAACCCTCTTATAAAAATTTTATTAGTTTTTAATTTTATCTTTTAATATAAATTTACAATGTATTGTTTTTTATTTATTTTGTTACTTGTTATGGTTTTTTTCCTTTCATTAAATTTATTTTTCTTTTTCATTTCATCATCTGATAAAAAAATTGTAGTTACCCTCTGACTTATTTTTTTCTATTTTTTATTCTTTTTATTTCAATTTTTTTATTTTAAGTCCTTTTATGTTATCACTTTTTTTCCTTGATTCTATCATTCGTCATTTTATTTATTAGGAATTGAGTTTCATGGTTTTTTTTTTATTTGTGTTGCTTCTAGTATAATGACCATGTTCATATGTTTGAAAATTTAATGGGAATTGATATTTTTTTTGTTTATTTTCTTTTTCAATTTCATCATTCATCATTAATTTTTTTAGAAAAAAATCAGCTTTATGGTTTTCTTCGATTTTTTTTATTGAATTATCCTGACCTCATAATCTAGAATGTAGATTCGACGAATTAACTCAGGTTGTCTAACCTCTTATTTTCTAAGTTAAATATCTATCATGTTAATTTAGGTTGACTCGATCAGTTTTTATTTATTTATTTTTATTTAATTTCATTCTTTCATATTTAATTGGCTAAAAAATAAAAATGATCATTTTTCTACTTTTAGAAAAAGGTTTTCTCACAAGTTTTTGTGATTGCTTTGTTTGTTCGTTTACTATTATTAGTTTTTTTTTCACCTGATTAGAATAAAACCAGCTTATTTCAACAATCAAATCTAAATTATTGAGTTTTTGTTTGTTTTAAAGCATGCTTACAGTACCTAAATATCATTTTTAATAGGAAAAATTCAAGTGGACTCGCGACATAATACTTGCACTCTCTAATTATACTCTATACTAAACGACATCGATAGATTTTCATTATTTATCTTGACACAAATCATTATGGATTAGAGTAATATAATACGAAATTATTTGCAAAAAACACTTGTTAAGCATGTGGTGGAGGTGGGATTGTCTTTTTCTATTAAATGCATTTGGTATTGAAATGATAATTAAAAATAAAATGGTCGATTCGGATTTTGTTGGGACATGATAAAACTATAAATAGGGTATGACAAAATTATCCCTCAACACTAGGGCATGACATGACTGTCATACTCTAAGCATTCAAATTAGACAACACAACCAAATCCTAAGCTTTGAGGTTTAGGGTGTAGGGTCTAGAGTATGAACCTAGAGCTTTCGGATTAGTAAACTCACATGCTCGTGCTCGAGTTTATTGACCTCTTAGGAGTTACAAATGTGCTCGTGCTTGAGTTTAGAGTTTATTGACCTCTTAGGAGTTACAAATCTAGACACTTGAATTTGACTTTTAGAAAGGATTTAAAACTCTTGAATCTGATATTACAGTTAAATACACTTAAATTTAGATCTAACATATTTAATATTATTATTTATATTATAAATATTATTATACAATCTAAACAAAAATAATGTACATTAACTAGGAAGATGTAGTTGAAACAAGTACTCTACAAATCCTGCCTATTGTAAATTATTAAGCTTTAATATCAACTGGTCACCTGGGGCAACTGAACCTAAACAAAAGGAAGCAATACACAAAGAAGACAAATTTCCAGAAAAGGTTCTTAACAACCAAACAACCAAAAAATCCCCACCTTAAATTTTTATTATTGAATTTATTCTCTATGATAAATTACCGAAATACAAACTAAATATCTTTATTTATACTAATTTCAAGTGTATCTTAAAAAGAAGAAAAAAAATTTAACAAAGTTGAAAAATAAAATTTAACTAAGTAGAAAAATAAAATTACCAAGTATAATATTTAATTTTCTAAACTAAATAAAAAAGATAACTAAGGAAAATTAATTTCCCTTGAAACCTCCTGCATCACTACTCAAACTCTAATTTGTGAAGAGAGACGGAGAATATCATCGGGGACATCTAATAGGACAAACTTCATGTATGATAGTTGCGCTTACATGCGCTATGAACTGATAAGCTGATTAAATGTCTCACAGCTAACATCTACATCAACCATATTACAACAAGCAGAAGTTACCAAGGAGCTCCACACATAAAGTTCTGGTAGCTTATCCTGGCTGGCCATCTCCTCTAACCACATAACAGCTTCATATTGCCTGCCCATGGAGGAAAGACCCCTTATAAGGATATTGTAGGTACCAGCTGGTGGCCAATATGATTTAATTAACATCTCTTCCAAAACCTTACTTGCTTCAACAAACCTACCATCTCGACACAGCCCATCCACTAAAATGCCGTAAGTTTCCTGATTGGCAACACAACCCACCTGCTTAGCCATCCTTTTCAAATAACTAACAGCGATTGCTGAATTCCCAGCATCACATAAGCCTTTCAATAAGACATTATACAATCTTACATTTGGAACACTATTTCTCTCTACCATCTCCCTTTCAATTACATTAATGGCTTCACCACTTCTACCTTGTCTACACAATGCGGCGACCTTCGCTTCATAAGTCCTAAGTGATGGCCTATAGCCTCTCTCTTGAGTTTCATCTAGCACTTTATCAGCCTGACCAGTCTTGCCTTCACAGTAAAGATCAACAGCCATCGCTGTATAACCAGCCAAACTGGGAACTCCGCCTCTGATTAGAGCTTCATTAATCAAAAGCTTTGTGGCTTCTATATCTTCACAATTATTGCACTGACTAAGATCAAGACGGTGGCGGTATCGCTTAGGTGCCTTCAGCCCCTTCCTTAATATCTTACCAAGGATTTCCAAAGCTTCTTCAACCTGCCCATTATCACACAGAGCATCCAAAAGGGTTCTATATACTACGATATCCTCTCCGCTTCCCTTTTGAGAGATCCTCCAAAACATTGAGTATAACAAATGCGTGGCCTCGTTTAGCCTTCCATCTTCACACAACCCCCTCATAAGAATTCGATAACTATCCCTATTCGGATAGCAACCCTGATAATCCATCTCTTGGAAGACTTGCAATGCAAGGTCAGAGCGATTACGTTGACAAAGAAAATCCAATAGCAGGTTTAAGGCACGAATGCGAGATTTCACTTCCCACCCACATGAGTTCTCCAAGAAAAAACGGTGAGCTGTTTCAAGTTTTGATTCCTTCACCAATATTTGCAAAACGGTATTGAAAGATTCAGTCCAATTTACACAGTTGAATTTTGGAATATTCTTGAAGAGTGAGACAGCTTCACTTATTTGGCCTGCACTCGCATAGGTCTTGATTGCAGTAACAAAGACTGAATCTTTGCACTCACAGGAATCGTCACGCATCTGATCAATAACCTCTTTCATCTCAGCAATTCGGTTTGAGTTTCCAAGGATGCTGATCATGGTGGCATACACAGGACCATTGTGGTGATAGCTGGGGTATTTGTCTTTCGCATCCTTGAAAATCTGCAACGCCGTTAATGGATTTTTCTGGCTCCTCAAAATTTGAGTGAGTTGTGTTGGTGTTAGAAGCCTAGGCCACCTTATACTCATGGCACCATAAGCATTTAGTCAATAGCTAGTTGGAACACTTTTCGTTAACAACCCTGTTTGACATGAAAAAAAAAGTTATAGCAGAAGAAAAAGAAATGCAAATAATGGAACCAAGTCTTTGAGGTCTAAAATGATTATCTTCAGAAGAACAGAAATAATATTTTTTTTACCAGAAAAAAAAAATGCGATTGTCTTTACTTATTTGACCCACAATTTCAATGAGAACTTCAAATCTATTTAACGATAGGAAAAAAACTAACATGGGTGCTTTAATTAAAATTAAACATCAGCTGAAAGCTATGAAGGAAGCCGATGAGACCTTTTTTTTTCTTTGTTTTATCCGATGAAGGCATGACATAACATATGATAGAGCTGAAATTATCTCAAATAAATTCTATATTATAACCAAGACTAATGCATAACCTGTTTAATATATGCAGAAATAAAGAATTATTGTATCATTTATGAATCAATACAACAGAGTAAAAGACTAATGCATTAGTCTTGGTTATAATATAGAAGGTAAGTGAGAAACCAGAATAAACCAACCTTAGGTGCAGACTTGCTGCTGGTGTTGCTGGCTTGCTGCCGACAGGTCTGCTGCGAGCTGGAGATTGAAGAAGACTGAAGAAAGCAAGGGGGATACAGAAAGAGAAGGGAAGATTCGGCTGGAGAGGTAAGTAAACCTAGTTTTTCTTCAAAAATATATAGGTTGGTATAAATGTAATTTTCATAAACTTTAAGGTTAAGGGTCGGGTTTAGACAGGGTTTCGGGTCGAGGACAGAGCAGCGTCGATACCCTATACAAACCTGATTTTTTTTCACTTCAAATATTTTCCAACTCGAGCTAACAAAAATATAAATAAATAAATAAAATTCATTCCGATAAATTCAGGTCGGTCTTCACGGGTGAAATTGGCATCGCCAAAATAGAGCTGTTAAAACTTGAGGGAAATATTGTTTTATTATGAAGGGAAAGACGTCGTTTTTGGCGGCCATCACAGTCAACATTAGGAGGCGGTAAACCGCCATTGAAGTAGATAGAGAGTTTCATTGACCAGGCATCAGGTGCTCTCTCTCTCTCGTAGATTTTTTTTTGAATTCTATGTGTTTAGATTTGCGTTATAGGAGTTCTTTTGAACAAGTTCCATCTGTTTAGATTTGCAGGGCAGTTTTTCTCGTTTCCTGGGTGTTGAGGAACCATTTTGTGTCGTGTTTTTTGACCATTGCATAATATGCTTGTTATGTAACAGGTGGTATGTTTGGTTTCTTTGGAAGAAAAAGATTTTTGGATATTTCTGCTTGAAAACATCCATTCAGCTTAGGTTTCTGTTGCATAGGTTTCTAATTGTTTTGTTCTTGTGTCTGATTGCTGCATCTTGTAGCAGATACTCCAGGAAGCTCAAAGGTTAAGGAGTTCGAGAGACCCATGAGACTAGCTGCATTGTCTACTTACTGTAATATGCTCGATATAGACAGTTTTAGTGAACTTTCTTTTAGCATAACATAATTTCCTGTTTTGAATTAACCAAGTTTCTTTTAATTTCACTTTTTACTAAGAACTTGATGCAACCCTGAAATGACTGCCTTTCTAGGAAGCATAGCCTCTTGCTTTGCACTTCCTGAGGGTTAGTTGCTCTGCCTATAGATTATGCTCTAGGTGCTACCATATGTTTTTCTGTATGATAATTTCTGTAGTATTGCATGTCAAACAATATAAAAATTTGATCGGAGACAATCGCTCGTTTTATTTTGGCTGCTGTATTAGGTAGGAAACTTTTTGAGCTTGGACGGTAGTATTTCAAGAAGCTTGATTAGTACTCGTTCCTGGATTCGTACACAAATGCCAAATTTTTAAGTGAGTCCGCAGCTTTTATTGAATCTATCTGCTATGAATAGGGATGGCATGTACCTTGTAAATTTGGGGAATATTTGAGATCTGAAAAAGATTCATTTTATGGCAATTATAGAGATGCAAGAAACTTTGTCATTGTATGAATATCTAGATTTCAAGTAGTCTAATGGATTTCTTCTTCCCATTTATTTTGGGGCAACATCTACTCGAATCTTTGGGTTGATTCTTGAGCATAGAGAAGATAAGATGTCTATCAACTAATAGTGTGTACTACGCTTTTAATTCCACTTTGTCATCAAACCGAAGGTATGCTTCCACAGTATTTTACTATGACATTTAATGTTATTAAATCTGGTCTTGCTATGGGTTTGATTCGAGCTAGGTTTTAAATTAAATTAGATTAGAGTTGATTCAATTGATCTAATTAAAACTCAAAACTTGAGTGTTTTTTTTTTTAATTTAAAATAATATTATTTTAAATTAACTCAAATTAACTTGAATTAATTCATTTAAATCAGGTCATGGCAAGGCCTGTTTTCGTAACTTTGTTAAACATTACTCTTCCTGGTTGCAATGACGAGGTCAATATGTGCTGTAAAACTACGCGAGAATGCTTCCCTACAAGAATTTGAAATTTATTTGTATCGTGTAAGTATGAAAAAAAATGTTAGACGTATAGCCAGGTGAAGCAGAAGTGATAGAATCTTTTCTGGTATGTTAGCCTAGTTGTGTTCTTGAAACAACTTATAGATGGGCTGGTGTTCTCCTTCCAGCAAGAACATATCTACAACTCATGTTGCTTTTGTATGCCATTTTCGATTTCAATCTTGCATCGGTATCATGACCTTCTCTGTTTGAGATGAGTTGCTGAAAACTCAGTGCATTGCTAGAGAGGTAAACTCGGTGATTGTGTAGCTAGAGCTTCTAGGTTGTTTGCGTACACAACTCACCTGATGCTTTGTACAAAAAACTTGCAAAAGTTTCCCTGGTAAATGCTATTTCAGAATTTCCATTTGAGCTAGGACTGGCTACTTCCAAAAAGGGACATGATTGTAACCTTTCGCGTTTTTATTCTGCCTTTGCATTAGAACCAAGTTGCTATGAGAATTGGAATCCATGTTTGGCGAAAATCATCATCAATTGGTAAGCTAGGCAGCGGGTTTTGTAATTTTCTAATTCTCCAGAAACTAACAAAAACCTCGTTGGAGACCATGAGATGAGGAGAAAAGTAAGAACCTATCTTCTTTAGCCATTGACCATGTACGCGTTATCCATATCAATGATATTAGTTTAGATTCGTCTCATCATCATTTGTTTAGCAGAAACTTCCTCACCCACTTCCACATAGAATTCCAACTGCCACAGCCATGTGATGCAAACCCGCATGCCCGACTTTGGAACAGAAAAAGTACCAACACCCATTTGACTCCCCTTTGCGAGATCCCCTTGGATTCCAAACACACACCCCAAAAGATGTGATAATGCAAAAGAAGGGATTTGAATGAGAAAAGAAATGCCGGCTGAAAGCAAAAGATGAATGTAAAGGAGATGATTATCTGTAAACAGAAAAATATAAGGTGACAGAGACACCATCTTCTTTCCCCCGACTAATGTTTTGTTCCTATTATAAAAATGCAGTCAATCATGAATAATGAAGAAACAAAAAATAAAATAAGAATTACAAGTTAATGACTGAGCTATCCATAGCTCACCTTTCTTGTTGACCAATATGGGCTCAAAGATATAAAAGCAATCTTTGAACCCTGATTGCTGCCAAATATAAACAAGAGCAAGTCATCGGATGCTCTCTGCCTCCGAGACATAATAATCTGCTGTATCTGAGGTAGAATCCAATGCCAATATTGGATTCCACCTTATGCTAATACATGAAATGAATATGATTTCTTTTCCTAGTTAACGCTAACAACTGCTTGAGACTCCCTAGTGTCCTAGACCGAACATGTGTGGTGATGAAGTTGATAATGTTGGGGGCTTGAAAAATTGAAAGAGTTAGTGGAGTGAGCTTTTGTATCTCAAATGCCTGTTTCCATGAATTGAACAATCTGATGCTGAATTTTTGGATTCTTCTGATGTTATGCTAACTGATGATCATGCATAACCCTCCTTTTGAATCAGTCACCTTATTCCTTCTTCCCCATATATGTTTTTCCCGGTCTGTGATTTGTGGATGTTGTCAGTCCTGTGAGAAGACTACGAACTTTCCATACTTATTATTTGGTTGGTGAGTTTTGTTCAGTAGCTGTTCCAGAGGCTTGCAAAGCACCTGTTCCTGCTCCCACCACCCCTGTATTTGCTGTTGGTGCTACTGCTGCTGTTGTAGTAGTTGTCATAGTCATTGTGGCTGCACCTGTTGCAGGTTACATTCAAATGATCCTGTCATTGGCCTTATGTTAAGTAAACTACCATCAAATGGATAGATTTGATTCATGAAGTCAGGGAAATTATTAGAATGATCACCTGCAGTTGTAGTCGCCATTGCTACAGACGAAGGAAGTGATAAGATTCCTGTAGAGCCGAACTGCTGAGGTAAATAAGGGTACTGTACCATTTGGGGATATTGAATTCCAAAACCATGTGCTTGGCTACTCTGTGCATACTGAGTATAGAATGGGTAGGGATTGTGTGGGAACATCCCTGGTGTTCCTGATGCCCCTCCAGTGGTATAATAAGGTGAGAATTGCTGGCCTCCATAAACACCATAATAGCCCTGCAAACGATGCCATAAGACTCTGGTCAAACAACGAAGATAAAATTGGTTGTACAAGACATTAGCTATACAAGTATATCACGTCAATACAAACCAAGGGATACATGGCATCCTGTGAATATCCAGTGTACCTGTGAGATGACAGGAGGAAAAGGTAGAATATGATAAGATAATGAATACAGAAAATTGAAAGCATATTAAAGGAGAGTGAAGTTGAAGAAAACATTCCATGGTGACTTTTATTTGTTACTGTTTACTTACCCATAAGCTGAATAAGGAAATGAGTATTGACCAGTGGGTTGATGGGTGTATGGAGCTGCGGATCCAGGATAAGTAGCTGGAGCCACTACTCCATGTACTGGTCTAAACCGTCCTGTGCCTGCGATTTCATTATTTTTTCTCAGGTAAATACTTCAATCCTCTTGTTCAGTGAATATAGATCTACATTTCAGTTAGCAAGCGGACGAATAGAGTAATTACAAGCTTGTTACAGCTATCTTGCCAAGGGTTTAAAGACAATATCAACATGGAGTGGGTTCAAAAATTGGAATCTTTACATGTTTTAAGAATGAAAGACAAAAGGGCATTTGCCCCATTTTTTGCGTTGTTTCATGGAGCAATGTTGGTTGAATATTCAAGGGATAGTTAACTTTTGCATAGAAAGTAGATATATATATATATATAAACACACACACACACATTGAGATGAGCAAAGTATTCTAAAAAATATCTGGGAAGGAATGGAAAGGAGATGACAGAGAAGAGAGAAATGGACCGTGTTGAGGGGTTGGTGGTCGAGTCTTTTGTGCACCTAGCGATGCAAGATTGCAGTTTGCCCTCCTTCCATCGATCACCGGCGATGGGTTTTGACAAGCTTTCATGGCTGCATCTGGATCCTTAAATGTAACCTAAAGAAACAAGAACAAAGACCCACTTTTCACCGAATCATGCAGTGAGAGAAGACAGGGAAATATACCCCTCGCAAAAGGGAAAGAAAAAGGAAGGATAAAAAACAAATAATGGGCTTACAAAGCCGTATCCCTTGGATCTCCCTGTATTCTTATCTGTGATAACAACAGCCTCCAGGATCTCTCCAAACTGTTCAAAATAACGCCTCATGGTGTCTCTCTGTGTCTCCCAGGCCAAACCACCAACAAAGATTTTGGTAAAAGTCGTGTCATTGTACTGCCCTGAATTGCCACCACCCACCATCTGAAATTGCCTTTGTTGAGCCATGATGATATACAATATTGCACACCAAAGAACAAAATACAAAGAACAAGGCCCAGATAAAACAAGAAAGATAAAAAAAAAAAAATGTTAACGGAAGAACCACCCTTCAGCCGGAACAAAAATCAGTAAAAGACCCCCCAAGAGAGACCAAATATAGAGAGAAATACGAAAAGACGGTAAATAAAGCCAGAAAGAGCCGTTTGTTTAGGTGATGATCACATCAATCAACAAAACGAGCACTCTTTCTTTTCTACACACACCAAACACTCGTGTGCCTGTCTATCTATCTATATCTCTGTCTGTTTTTCTTCCTCTTGTTCTTGTTCTTCTAGTTGTTGTCTTTCTAATGCTTTAACTGCCACTTTTTCACAACCACAACTCCTCAGATTCCTCAACAACGATACCCGAAACGAGAAAATCATTACTGTTAAAGGGAGAGAGAATAACAGGAGAAGAGAGAAGAAAGAAACCCTACAATAAATAATAAGTACTATATTTATATACCCGAAAATAAATATATAGCATACATAGCACAAGAGAAGGAGAGATGATAAAATTAAGAAGAAGGGAAAAGGAGAAGACAAAAAAGCCGCTAGTGGACACCCACGACAATAGTAGGCAAGGTTGTCCAATGAAATCTTAAGAACCAACCCCTTTTTTTCCCCTGTATCAGCAACTTTCTCTCTCTAAAATTATGGGAAGACTACAAACCAGTCCTATCCTACACAGCCACTGACAAATAAGCCCTCAACCCTCAACGTAATTTTCCATGAGGTTCTCATATTCACCCCTGTTAACATCACCACCAGTGATGCTATTTCATGAGAAAAAACGACAGCGTGACATGGCAAGAACATTGCAAGATACTGGATTGGTGGGAAACACCATCTCCTGCAATGTTAATTTATGATCGATTGTCTTGTGATTTCTTTTG